CTACTTATGTGATGTACAAATGTAGTAAAGTCTCAAAAAAACAACAAATTTTCAGTGTATAAAGGGTGTGTAACTAATCACCTCATCAAACTTCATATCCAGTTAACCGTGGATAAATTAACCAGATAAATTATGTCGGGCTACCGGTATGTATGTACGTAAACCACAACTTGTTGCACACCAAATATTACTGTCCTTGATGGCTGAACTCCGACGCTCGTTCATTTCTGAACGGTAAAAAATTACCGTGTACCCACGGGAAAAATTACCGTGTAATCACGGGGAAAAATTACCGTGTTTCCACGGTGAAAATTTACTGTGGATCCACGGCAATTTCTGAAGATGTTTGCTTGCCGAAGNTAAATGCAAATATAGAAAACGTGCCCAATAAATAAAAAAAATGCGATTAGTATTGCCATAATGCAACCCTGCTGCGAGGTTGCAAAATGTAGACGCGTAAAAAACATACCTTTGAGTGTGACAAATTGTAGACGGCGTCGTTTTCCAATTTTGTATGGGAAACAACAACACCACAGATTTTACGGTTAGAAAACGTCTTAAAATGTAGACGTCTACATTTTGAGACACTATTTGGAACGAACTGTGAACACCCCAATTGTCACTATTTTGTACGAATTGATTTTTGAATGAATGGCAGCAACTTAGGTATGTACATACATACATCTATTGTGAGCAAAACAAATACTACGCATGATGAATACACTGCCGTGACCCACGAGAAATTAGGATTGTTCATTCACGTTGGAAAAATAGATAGCCTCGGGTCCACACTAATTTTTGTCGTAGATCTACTGTTAAAAAATACAGTTATTCGCGCGCCTCGAAAATCATCGTGAATCCACGGTAATTTTTTCCGCGGATTCGTGATTTTTGATTCGTACGAAAACAAGATTATGCCCATCGTAACTTTTTTAGTCGGAATTTATTTTCATTGTAAAAGTTATTTTTTTTTTTTTTTTTGGATTTGTTAAGTGGTTTCTTAAATATGAAGAAAACACAAAATTTTGTAAACGATAAATTAAATTCCTTCAGAAAAAAATTATAACTAGCCCAGTAAAATTAGATTTTTTCTTAAAAAAATTGTAACAGCAATTTTTTGATACACTTTACTTCTATTTGACACGTAGATCATGGATCCACAGTCTTGCCCCTAAATTTAATTTGGCAACATTCCGCCATCTTGGATTTAAGTTTTTTTTGGGTTTTTTCCGATTTGCAAGCTGATTTTGCATTAAAAAAACCTTCCATATAACAAATGTGGGAAATTAAATTCTCTAAATATTTGTATTTAACCATTTTTTACGAAAATTTATTATTTTTTATTTTAATAACTATGTTTCATGGTATATTATTATTCTTAATCACAAAAATACAAGTCGTAAGCCTGTATATAAGTACAACTGAAACGGTATATACATATGTATGGGCATTGTTATAAACACTATACTATACGTGCATACGTATGTAAGTACAAATGTTTTGATAGTCACAAAATGGTATTGAACGCTATAAATTATAGTTGCAAGCTATCGATATAATCGTGGACTTTATTGTATTGCACTTTTTTATGTTGTTTATTTCTTTTTTTTTTTTAATTGTAAAAATGCAGAAGTCACAGCAAAGCTTTCTTTAAGTAGCTTATTTTTTTTTCCTGAGTAAATATCGCTTCAACGTATGTATGTACATATGCAGACAGATTTCCTCTTCATACATCTTTATTTTTCAAGGGCGACTTCTCTTCATAGGCCTAAAAACCAACAACAACGTTTATATAAACAGTTCGAACAAAGAATGCTTTTCTTTAACTAATATTTTACCTTTTGCGCCACCACAAGCAGGCTTTCAAAAGTGCTATTACCCATTTGTTTAACCATATCATAGAATACATTCGTTTTACTTTGGGTCAACAACTCATACGGTGAAGCGAATTCCACCGCTCGACCAGCATCCATCACCAGCACCTTATCCGAGTC